GGCCCCGCCCCTAGCCTCTCTGCTCTGCTCAATAAAGTGGCTGTCCTGAGCTGCTGAGCCCTGTCGGCTTAGTCCAGGGCACCAGCACCATGCCCATGATACTGGGTTACTGGGACTTGCGCGGGGTGAGTGAGGGGTCTGCCTGACGGGTGGAAGGGGGACCCGGGGTGGGGATGTGAACAGCTGGCACAAATTGTAGGAACTGCATCTTCAGGTTTTGCTGGAGTCCTCTACATGTCTCTTTCAGCACTCACGCGCCTACTCATGTATGAGCCTGTGTGCCTCCGTGTGTATGTGTGTGTGTGTGTGTGTGTGTGTGTGCACACTCGCGAGTATGCATGAAAGATGGGTGTTCCTGGAGTGTGAGGGACTCACTTGGAGCAAATGAAGTCCCATGGTCAAGGTCCTGTCTCTGATCTCTGCCTCACCATCTCTTCCAGATATCTCATCCCATCCGCTTGATCCTGGAATACACAAACTCCAGCTATGAAGAGAAGAGATACACCATGGGGGGCGGTAATGGTACCCTCCTGCCTGGACTCCTGTCCAAGGCTGCTGATTAGCACCTAGCAACCCATGCCTGGCCATCTGTTGCTTACCTTGGCAACTTTCCTGCAGCTGCACCAGGAACCAACCCCTTCCAGAAACCTTAATGGGGATAATTGGCCTCATGACTCAGGATGCTGAGTTGAAGTTCTGGATCCCTCTCTGTTTGTGAGGGTTGGGCTTCCCATTAGAGCTTGTGAAAATATTTTGAAAGCCATAATCCTATAAGATCCTCATCCCTCAATACTGATCTCCCCTCCGGGCTCCAAACCATGAACTATGAGACTGCTGGCTCAGAATCCAGGTCCACTGTCGGGAGTCTTGCCCCTGACTCCTTGGTGGTGGTGGTGGGTGTACCAAGGAAGAAGGGTTAGACTCCTGAGAGTTTTGTATTCACTTCATCTTCCCTGCCACAGCTCCGGACTATGACAGAAGCCAGTGGCTGAATGAGAAGTTCAAGCTGGGCCTGGACTTTCCCAATGTAAGTGAGGGGTTGAGGTGGTTTGGGGAAAGTAAAGTCTTCCCTGCCTCATCCCAGCATAAAATCTTGAGGATTAGAACTCCTGCTCAACTACTCTCATTCCTGGTGTCTACCTTGTCTTCCTAAAATGTTCTGTCCCACTCATTCACTCACTCTGCAGTGTATCTATGCAGGGCTTGCCCTGGGCAAGCACACTGAGGACCAGGTCTCATGTCTGCTCTAAGTCAGGGAAGGGATGCTGGGACCTGCTATCCCAACTGACTTTCCTGGTTGTCTGTGCAGCTGCCCTACTTAATTGATGGGACTCACAAGGTCACCCAGAGCAACGCCATCCTGCGCTACATTGCCCGCAAGCACAACCTGTGTGAGTAGGGCTGGCTGCTGGGTGTGGGGGGACAGTGGCCATCTCCATGGGCTTGGGTGGGGTCAGATGCTGAGTCTCTGTTGTGTGGGCTGCAGGTGGGCAGACAGAAGAGGAGAAGATTCGTGTGGACATTTTGGAGAACCAGGTTATGGACACCCGCATGCAGCTCATCAATCTCTCCTACAGCCCTGATTTTGTGAGTCCCCATGGGTCTGGAGGAGACAGGGTTTGGAACAGGAGTTAAACTCTTGGGTTCACATCTACCCTGGTTTATGTGACAATTCAACTCTGTAACGGTGTACTGATTCTCCAAGGTTTCCTATCCTACCGTTAAACTGACCCTTATAACCCCAATCTATGGTACAGTAAACACTGTGAATCACTCCCCTCCTGTTGTGATACCGATTAGAGTCCCCAAAGTGGATATTCTGTCCTTGATGTGAGTGTATGCTCTAAAATCCCTTTCATCTCTCTGTTCTTTAACATCTGCCACCAGCTATCTCTCCTAGATTTACACACTATAAGGCTCTTTCTGGAATACAGAGACTCTAACCCTCAGCAAAAGAAGTACAATATGAGGGAATGGAAAGCAGCCTGGTCCTCAGATATCTGCTAAACTGTTTCCCCAGTGCTGTGTCCTTGACACCAGCATGGTCAGAAGATTTTCCTAATAGGCAGCTTAATGTCATCCAGAAGACCTCTGTCCCTCTCCTGCCCTTTTCCTTATTGTGTATTGAAATCAGGGCCTTGTACAATAATGGCTCGGTTCACAAATGCTTCTGTTTGCAAACAATTCAGTTTGCAAACAAAAGCGTTCTGAAAAATTTTGCTTCTGTTCACAAACTCCACATTGGATGACAAACATGACTTCAGCCATCTTCCCCACGTACACACAGACACAGCCATCTTCCATAAAATCGTAAAACGAATGAAGTTTGTAAACTGAGGAAACACTGTACTTGCAAGACAAATGCTCCTGAACTACATCCTAGTCCTTTAAATTTATTTTTTTAAATTTTGAGACAGCGTTTTACTAAGTAGCCCAGGCTCCTTGAACTTGCAATCTTCCTTCACTTCCAATGTAGCTGGGATTATAAGCATATGCCACCAGGCCCAGCTTCCCTGGTTTTAACATCAAATACGCCTCAGCCTTGTGTATACCGCTCAAATATCCGTTCTATTTGTGTGCCCTCTCACTAGGTAGGACTTCGTCTTGTCTCTTTTAATCTTTTATTATTTGCTTCTTTGGCTCCACTGACATAAGTTGAAAGCCGGCCAGGTTCTCAGACACTCCTGGGTCTGAATCACAGAACCCTGTTTGGATCAGTGGTGACAGATTGAGGGACAGAGTTGTATTCCTGTGTGATTTCCCATCACTTCTGACAGATGGGGGTCTCCTAGCAAGTGGGAGTCTAAGAAACAGTGCTACATTAAATGGAGGCCATGACACTGGCCTAGGCCCAATTTCAGGAAAGAGGGCTGCAAGTCTGGCCTCTCAGGGAAGGAACTTGTGTCTGAGGGTGATGACACTTGATTTCTGCCCCCAGGAGAAAAAGAAGCCAGAATTCTTGGAGGGCCTCCCTGACAAGATGAAGCTCTTCTCACAGTTCCTGGGGAAGCAGCCTTGGTTTGCAGGGAACAAGGTAAAGGGAAGGGAGATGGGAAGGAGAAGTTGTCATTCTTCCTAGGTTATGAGCTTCCAGCCCACTCATTGTCAACTCTCTGCAGATCACCTTCGTGGATTTCCTTGCTTATGATATCCTTGACCAGCACCGTATGTTTGACCCCAAGTGCCTGGAGGCCTTCCCTAACTTGAAAGACTTCATGTCCCGCTTTGAGGTGACACTCTTGCCCCTTCTCAGTCTTATGTGTCCTTTTCTCCTTGCCCCTTTCCCTGATTCCTTTCTAGTGCTATAGCTGACCTGAAGAATAACATGTATGAGTATTGAGATTCTCAGCATCTTATATCCATTGTATCGAATTAATCGTCGCAACAACCTCCAAGGCTGGTAGAATTACCAATCCTACTGCACAGACACAGGAACTGAGACTAGAGACTAAGTCATTTTTTCAGGGTCCCAGCACCAACGGAGGCTGTGTGTGGGTCTTTGTCAACCTCTAGCTTCTAAGGGCATCAGTAGCTGTCCCTGTGTTGTGCCCAAAGAAAATCCTGAGGCCCTGTGCAGCCTGGGTTTCCAGCCCAGCAGCCTGTGTAGGAGGGAGAGCATGTGAAGGGTGTGAGCAGCTTGCACTGGGAGGGCTGGTACAAGGCTAGATGGATGGGAAGTACGAAGATGCAGACGATTCTTACCTGATCAGCCAAGCACTGTGGTCTGTCAGATTCCCAACCGGGAAAGCACTGAAACCCTGTGGTTATAGTTAGTGCTGGATTGATTGTACATATGGGTACCCCTGTTGGGTGATTTTATCGTGAATTGTTCTGTTAGGTGTCCTATTTCCATACTTTCATCCTTCTCTTCCTCTTCAATATCTCAAGTGTTCTTTCTGTAAAACGTGGTCATGTTCTCATTTTCACTGATATCCTTCACATCTTCCTCTATTTAAGCTTGACGTGAACCCACTGACACAAGCAGAAAAGACCCTCTCCTGGGCCCCTCCAGAGACTGAGTTTAAGCGAGAAGGGCAGACATTCTGGATGTGAGGTGTATGTGGCACATTGTGGGTGCTGTGGAGCATAGCTTGCCCCTCGCCTTGCATCTTATCGGGTTCTGCAGAATCCACTTGTCACCAACAAAATCTATTTTATTAGAGACTTGGGAATTTGAGCCATTAATGCAATGAGTTTTTAGCTTGAAATCTGCTTGTTTTCTACTTGTCAACGAGTACCGTGTTTTCTCAGCTAGTTCTCATCGGCTCTGGTTCTCGTCCAGATCGAGTGTGCAAGAGCATGAAGGTGGGAAGGAAGGGCTTGAGGGACAGAGCTGAGAGCTATGGCCTGAGCCTCAGTCCTGCTGGGCCAGGCTTGTTAAGCACAGGCAACTGTGGATTTCTATGAATCCTTTGAAATTAGTTAGGAACTCATTCTACAAGTAGGAAGGCACACAATACAACCAACCTCATATGGCTCTGCCCCAATAGAGGCTGGAGTGCTTGCTTCGGCAGCACATATACCAGTAGCAGGCTGGAGATAGGGTAGGTTGGGCAAGTTAATACGACGTTATTGACTATAGGAGAAATCTGGACTTTTTGCCCTCAGAGGATTGATTGAAACCTTGCTCAGGCTTTGTTTTTGGATTCTCTTCCCCTGTCCCTTTTCATCCAGATTCACTGGGCAAGCCTGGGCTCTCTTCCAATCTGCACTCAAATGTTCTTGGAATCTTAGCTATGCTTGATCCCTCCTCTGTTTGCCAACACAGGCAGGAAGGAACTTCCTTGTGTAAAAGGAAAATATTTAGGCAGAGAGGGAAAGACAGAGCCTCTTGGGGGAGGGCTGAGTGGAGGGGAAGAGCATAGAGTTGGAGAGACAGAGCCGGGGTGCATCCAGCCCTGTCCCACTTACTAGTTGTGTAGGCATGAGGAAATCGCTTAACCTCTTTGTACCTCAGGTTCCTTCCCAATAAAAGGTGATGGTAGGGCTGATCTTGCAGGGTTGTTGAGTGGTTTTCTCAAACTATATTGTAATTTCTAGTGGATATAAATCCACCTTTAACAGTGTTCAACCTCCCCGTAGTGACAGAAAATTGAAAAGTTTACTCACCAGAGCTGGGGACCTCAGTGGACTGGGTTGTGCTCCCACATTTGAGCCCATGTGGAAGAGCTGTTCCTGGTGTGGGGATACTCAAGTTCAATGGAGCAGCAGACCTGAGCTCCAGCTTTCTCTTTCCCACACTCAGGGCCTGGAGAAGATCTCTGCCTACATGAAGTCCAGCCGCTTCCTTCCAAGACCTGTGTTTTCACAGAGTGCAGTGTGGGGCAGCAAGTAGGGCCCTGCAATGCCAGGATGGGAGAAGGATCTACCTTGCCCCTTGTCCCTATCCTGGGGCACAGCTGGCCGCCTGCATCCATGCATCAGTTTTCTCATCCCTCTATCTTTTCCACTCCCTTCTCTGCAAGGCCTCATCAGCTCCCTTTCTTCTACTGAGCACCGCCCCCCCAAATCATGCCTCTTAAGCTTCACCTCCCCACTTTACTTTACAGAAGTCCCCTTCTCCGCTTCCTTGTGCCTGACCTGAAACTAACCAGATAGTCCTTTATTCTGATTTGAGGAGGCTGCCTGACTCCATTCCATCTGCCTGGTTTGGAACCTGGTGTACAGGCCCTGGTCTCTGTTGTGTTGGGTGCCCTGGCTCTGTCTGATCCTCAATAAAACTTAAAACATAATTGCTGTGAATTTTTTATTTCCTTTGGCTCCCTGGACTCACAAGTTGTCACTGCTAATTTCAAGGAATTATCCTCTGATTTTGGTGGTAGTGGGTTCACAGGGTAAGTAGAATTTTGAGACTTTTTGGTTCCAATTCTGACATCTGCAAAGCAGAAAACCGTAGGAGGCTCTGTCGAGAATAAAGGGACTGTTCTGGGCCTGCACCTCTCATTCACTCCTGCAGCAGTACTGAGGCTTCTGTGGAGAGGCAGGGCTGCATGTCTTATTCACTAGGGACCAAGAGTGGGCGAGTCCCCATCAATCACAGAGCATAGTGTTGTGGCCTCTGAGCTCCCACCTTCAGCTGCAGAGCATGTGGCTTCTCTGACTTAACCCACATGAGATGACCTCTGCCTGTCCTCCACCCCTACTCCACTCCTCACCCTGGTGAATTAATACCTTAATGAATATTCGCTTGGGCTGGGGATTTAGCTCAGTGGTTTCGCCGCCTGCTGCACAAGCACAAGGACCCGAGTTCGATCCTGGTACCAAAAAAAAAAAACCAAACCAGAATATTCGCTAAAGATGTGTTCACACCATGTAATCCTAAATTGTAGGGAACAGGGAAAGGGGACGTTACTAGAACCTCTGTAGTGAGTCCTAGTCTCCTGCGAGCCACGGCAGCACAAGGCGAATTATAGGAAAGGTAGAAAAATGAGACTTTGAGAAGAAGCTGAGCTTTGGGCCTGATCAGTGCTGCTCTGGGTAGCAAAGACGAAAGCCCTCAGTTTACCGCACCTTTTATTCAGTACCTCGGGAGAAACAGATGTAACAAATGACTTGCGGAGAGTTCAGTACTTCCGCATAAAGTGTAACAATCCAAGAACAATGAGGAACTGAGTAGATGAAGATTTTGTTCCTCCCAGGATGTCTTCAGCTGGTGTGATCTTATCCTGGAGCATCACAGCATCACCTGGTCATTGAGGTCTCAGTTGTGACCAGAGGCCAAAATGGAATTATGTCTCAAAATGCCGTAGCTGGGCTGTAGGCAGGAGAACTAGGCCTAATCAAATGGTTTTTCCCTAAAATTATGTAGCATTGCTCCTGACACTAACTGCTATACAATTCCTCAAATTTTCTTCCTGTGTTTCATAACAACTTGCCCTTTAATTTTTAAATCCATTTTATTTCTAAGTTTCACCTGTTTTTGTATATCCATTATGCTTTGTAAAATCCTTTAAACAAGATAGTCCTCTGACCTAAAGGACAGTGTTCAGGTAGGAGAATGTCCTTCTGAAGGTTATACCCTAGGTCCCAGAGAACAGGGTGACGTCAAAGGCCATTTGAGCTCCCAAATGTACCAAGACCATACATGAACCAGGGGCTAGAACCAGGCCAGAATCCAGAGACTTGGACATCTGGTCTTATCCTGGTCCCAGCCAGGCCAGGCTGTGGTCCTGTATGGAGTCCTCCACGATCTACTCTGGACACCCTACTGTCTTGCCTTGGATGCAGGAGAAGTGTCTGGCCCCTTGGACCCCAAATCTTCCACCTCACCTTACACTCTAGCTATGCTCACTACACTTGCAGCCCCTGGGCTGGTCACTGGGATTGTTTTGCTATATTGTAGTATATTGTGGAGAAGTGCAAATACCCTGTCCTCTACTGTGTCTAATTTTTGGATTTGGATTTGTTAATGGAGTTCTAGGTGAAAACCCCTGGTTGGGGCCTTCCAACACTGGTCCCAGAACACCCCATCAAAAAGATGAGCAATGATGAAAGGCAGGAAAACGCTTTAATCAGTAAGGCTTTGCCACTGGAAAGGACAGATAAAGAGGTTCAAGGTCTGTAAAGACTGATAGCAACTTTGAGGTGTTATAGAAAAGGAGAACAAAGGCAAGGGTTGGAATTTGCAGGGCTGGGGGTTTCCACGGCTGGCAGGTGGGTAATCCTGGTCAAGTAGGTGGTCTCTTGATCATTACCTCGGGGCTGGTTCTGCAGATCAAGTCCTTATGACTTGAGGGGACAATCTGATTCCCATGATATGATTGTTCTTGCTTAGGTCAGGGTTGGGGGTCAGCCTCCATTCAGTCATGGAGTCATTGCTTGCTCATGGTGGGGGGTGATCCCATGATGGAGTGTTTGGTCTGGGAGGCTCTGCTTTTGCTGGAATCCAAGGTGATGGCAAGATTAGAGTAACGACTGGAGACTTCTTAGTGCTGGCCCAAGGTGTCTGGAACAGGATTTCATAAAACTTGGAAATTGAATGTCCCTGAAAATCTTACTATAACTTCCTCTGAGTATCCTCAGTCATGAAGGGGCAAGATAGGTTAGGTAAATTTAAGGCTCATAAGCCCCATATCACCAATTTTCAGACAGACCTTAAGTGATGAACCTGCCCATGGGGAGAGCTGAGCAAGAAACTGACCCCAAAATTTAAAAGCAATAACAGCCAGATATAAAAGGAAGGTAGAGATGCCAAGCTTTATCTGGCTTTTAGTTGTACACTGGGTATCTGCAGGTCCAACCTGTAAGTCTCTGTTACAGATTGACACAAAAAAAGAATAAAAGGAATAAAAGACTAATTGGCTAATTCGCATAATCTTTATGCAGCTCTCTCTGAAGTGCTCAGGCTCCCCAATTCCCTAAGGAAAATATGAAGAACATGTGTGGCCCTGGTGGTGGTGCTGGGGAGTCCTGGAGTTCGCATTTCACTGACACTGTTTTTGTAGACACTAGGCTGTCAGGGGTCATATAGCTATCACACCATCGAATCCTCTTTTTCCAGTAACGGGGGCTGAATTAAACTATCAGTTTGGGGGTCCTCCTTTTTGGTTTGACCCTGGCCTCCCAGAACATGTAGGGATTCAGCAGGTAAGGGGTGAACAGTGAGAGATGCAAGGAGGAAAAGGAGGGAGAACAGCTTTGTTCTTTCACACCCTGGGCCAGTCTCCAAGTGCAAGGGCAGCTCCCTGTGTACCTAGCAGGATGGGGGCGAAGGGCCGCTGGCGGGGCTGGGGGGCCCAACAGCTGAGCCCTGCCTTTGGATTCTGGGCACCTAGACCTGGCTCCCAGGACCCCAGGCCTGAAGCTGCATTGGATCTTGATTTGTGTCTGCCCTTGAGACTCGGGCTCACTTGGGTTTGTGCATCCTGGGTAGGCTGGAGTGCAGGGCGGGGCGGGGAGGAACGGAAGTAAAGTCTGCGACAGGAAATCTGCTCAGCAACCAGGCCCCGCCCCTCCGTGCTCTGCTTGCAGTTAAAAGTAGGTTTGCCTGGCAGAGACCTGTCTGCAGGTCTATACTGCCACCACCATGCCCATGATATTTGGTTATTGGGACATCCGCGGGGTGAGTTAGGGGTCTGCCTCATGTGTGGGAGGACGATTGGGTGGAGCCAGACTGAGCAGCTGGCCAACAAGTTCTAGGACATGGATCCTTTTCAGGACGTGGATCCTTTTCAGAAGATGCTAGAGCCTTCTGCAAGCTTTGAGGTGTGTGTGTGTGTGTACATGCATGGTGTGTGTGTGTGTGTGTGTGTGTGTGTGTGTGTGTTAGAGGAAGACGGGTTCACAAGGAGGAAGTGAAGGTCACAGTCTGAGTCCCTGAATCTGTAACTTCTTTCACGGGTTACCCTCCCAGCTGGCTCACGCCATCCCCCTGCTCCTGGAATACACAGACACCAGCTATGAGGAGAAGAGATACACCATGGGGGATGGTAATGGCACCTTCCTGCTCAGCCCCGTGCCCAATCCTACTGACCCATACCCTGGCCACCTGTTGCAGATGGCCCTAGACCGTGCCCCTTGCAGAAATCTCTGAAATTGCAGCATGGTCACCTAAGGCAGGTCTGTGGGAGTGGAATGCTAGGACACCTTTTAGCAGGTGCCTAGAACTTTTGCAAGCCCTAGTCCTGCTGGCTGCAGAGTCCTTACAAGCACACTTAACCTTGCATCCTTGGAATGTGGGGTCAGTGGTTCAGATTCTAGTTGTACTGTCTCAGGTTCTAGCCCCTGATTCCTTGGGAGAGTACCATGGGTAGCAACAATGAACTCAAGAGAGGTTTGTTTTCAGCTCATCTTCTCTACCACAGCTCCCGACTAGGACAGAAGCCAGTGGCTGAATGAGAAGTTCAAGCTGGGCCTGGACTTTCCCAATGTAGGTGAGGGGTTGGAGTGGTTTGGGGAAAGTAAAGTCTTCCCTGCCTCATCCCAGCATAGAATTCCTAGGATTCGAACTCCTGCCCAACTACTCTCATTCCTAGTTGTCTACCCTGTCTTTCTATGATGGTGGATATCCCACCTCATTCACTTTTTCGACTGTATATTTCTGTAGGCTTGCCCTGGGCAAGCACACTGAGAGCCAGGTCTCATGTCTGCCTTAACTCAGGGAAGGGATCCTGGGACCTAGAATCCCAACTGACCTTTTCTGTCTGTCCATGCAGCTGCCCTACTTAATTGATGGGACTCACAAGCTCACCCAGAGCAACGCCATCATGTGCTACATTGCCCGTAAAAACAACCTGTGTGAGTAGAGCTGGGGCTGGGGGTTGGCCATCCCGCTGCACTCGGCTGGGGTGGGATGCTAAGGTTGAGTCTCTGTTTTATGGGCTGCAGGTGAGGAGACAGAAGAGGAAAGGATTCGTGTGGACATTTTGGAGAACCAGCTTATGGACACCCACATGCAGCTCATCATGGTCTGCTACAGCCCTGATTTTGTGAGTTCCGCCGTGGGCCTGGACCAGATAAGATTTGGAGCAGGAGTTAAACTTTTGCATTCATATCTACACGTCCTGTTCAGCATTTAAACTCTTTGCACTGGTACTGCTTCTTCTGGGTTTTCTACCTTACACTTATAACTTCAAAATCATATCAAATAAACACTGTGAATCAATCTCCACAAATACTAGGGTACAGTCCAGACTCCCCCTTTGGACAATTTGTTTCAATACCAAAGTCACGTTTTCCAAATTGTTTCCCCTTGTGACCCTCATGTGTGCCATTGGCCCCATCTGAGATCTTC